CCCGCGGGGACCCCGCAGGCTGCCTCCCGGTAGGGCTGCCCGGCAGGTGACGCCTCGGGGCTGCAGGGGCTCCGCTTCCGTGCGGGAGAGGAGGAGCGGGGCTGCCTCGATGCGGGAGGCTCAGGGCGCGCGGCGCGGTTGCCGTCTCCTGGGGGTGAGGGCAGCGCTCCTGTCCCCATGACCGTGACGCGGGATCAGCCCAGGCGCCCAGTAGCAACGGGCTTCTGTGTCAGTAAGCCTCTTCGCTGCCCCTAAAAATGTAAAGCGAGCGCGGGACCGTTCCGGTGGCGTCACCAGCAGTAAGTAGGAAAAACGCCACGTTTCTTTCTTCCAAGAGGCCCGCCAGCTCCTCCGAGGCGAGGTGGTGGGAAGCACGCCCCGGTGGTGGGGGCCTGGAGCCTCTGAGCAGCCCCCAGCCCGCACCCCGACCACCGCTGCCTCGAGGGCTATAGCCCCCTTCCCATGGAGAGTGAGGCCGCGCCAGGGCGCAGATTAAGATGTAGTTCACCACCTTCTCGGTGGAAAAGACAAACCTAGAGCGATTCATTACCTCAAGGAGTAATCAGAGCATATATCATCATCTTGTGTTTCATCTCGATAATTCACACCCTCTTAGCATTTTTGTCTTTACAAATTGTTTCCTGAGGGTGCAAGTTACCAGTTTCTGCATTCATTTTTCACAAAAGCAACTTCAAAGTTGTCCCTTTTTTTCACTGCTTACATAGTCAGGAACCTTCTACTGTTGCAGAAAACACAATTCTTCCTCCCTTTTTACCAAGCTGAAAACGCTCATATATCTTCAACAAGGTGTGATTTTAGACATTTTTTTATTCATTTTGTACAAAGACAACAAAAATACACTTTCAAACCATTTATTGATGTAGATGAGCGGGAACGTTTTAAAGTAATTATTAAGAATATTTAAATTCTTCCTGAAAACTTTTTCAGGATGCTGGATTAGTCACAGAGATCTTTTTCTTTCATAATTGCATATTATAGAGATGGACAACCATGTGGAATTTCCCAGCTGGGAATCCTGCCCTAGCTAAATGTAAATAATGCAAATGTATGGAATCTTGGCATCCGTGATAATGTGAGTCTATTAGGATGGCACGGTGCCTCGTCATAATTTGTCTGGATGTTGCCCTGATGCAACATAGATGCCAATTAGTTATTTGCTGGTTATGGCCTGTGGGCCACCTTGCACTGGCTCACACCTGCTCGCTCCATGCACCAAAAAAATACTTCATGAATATGGGAAGAAAAGTCACGATGAGAATCTGAATAACTCTACCTGCCTTTGAAACATATTAAAAACAAATCTTTAGTTGTTGGTTTTAGACAGAATTGCAAATAATTGCCTTCTGGTTCAGTATTTTACTCAAAAAAATTTAGATTTGATCACTCCAACTCAAAAGTCATTTGAGGGTTAATAGGACATTTTGCTTGTGAAAAGATTGTGTTCAGTTTCCCTCTGGATTATTTCCTTCTCTGTTTAATCCCAGTTTAGTATTTTGGACCCAAAATGTCTTTCCAATATTTTTGAAACAAAAGAACAGTGAGGTTTCATGTTGAAAGAATAGGAAAAATACTCCTAATTTTTACTGATTCTCCCATATTTTTTCCATTTAAACTCGTCACTGAATATGACCTCAATCTGCAGACCAATCTGAGTGACCTGATTTTTCTTTTCCATGTGAGCCCTTTTTCTGAACTTTTTTTTCCACCTTTAAATAAAAGTGAGCAAAACATGAGAGGCTTGGCAGGGAAAAGGGGTACAGATGAATGAGGCAGAGCGTGGTGTGATGCCACGCCTATGCTCACTGTGTTTGTCTCCAGAAATATTCTATCATGTCCAAAAAAGATTGAAGAGTAATTAATAAAGGCTTATAAAGGGGCTGATTCTTGTGTTATCCAGAGTGACTAACGTGGAGGGGGCCACGGAGAGCCTGTGTAGCGCACTTACTGATACACAGCTAATGCTCAGTTAATTCTGTTTCTCTTCGCTGTTCCAGACACTTCCTTTCCCTGGCTTCCACCTTTCATATTCTCTGTATAAGGAAGGTCTCGGCATGCCCTTCTGATTCAGAAGGTAGCTGGAGAGATGCTGTCCAGGAAAAATTCCCTTCCATTTAAGGAAGGTTTAAGAGAACGTTGGTAGCGCAGAACACAGGGTCTAGTCCACTTTATTCCATGTTTTCTGAAATGACGTAAATTCATCTGCAGCATTTTTATGACTGCTGAGCACACAGCTTCAGCAATAATTCCTGGAGCTGGAGTAGAGATACACAGCTTGAAGCTGTGAGGTTAAAACCTCTTTATTTCAAACAGAATAGAAAAAGCTAAATAGTAGATGCTATTAGGATGCTGCTGAGCAAGAGAATTTCCTCTACACAATGAAATACTTAATCATTTGAATTCCTATTAAATTCAAACATTTAGCAAAACTGGTGCAGCACAAAACCCAGCTGATCACCTATTTTCACCGTTTCCAAGGCAGTGGCATCACTAATGCCACCAAACAAGTCTATCGCTAAGGCTTGTCATTTGTCATTCTGCTCACACTATACACATAATCTTCACTCTCAGTATTTCTGCTATGTATGAGATGGTGGAAATGGCTTTAGTTGTTCTGCATGTTATGTTGTCACACACCTTCTGTTAGTGACCCAGTTCTAATGGTATTCACAGAGAAGTTTTGGACTCTACGCTGGAATACTAATGTTTGGCAATTGGCAGTGTGCAGTCAGCCCAGAAGACGGCACAGTATTTTGGGATGTTATACTATACCTGCGTAGAATGTCAGTAATGACAGGTAATTACGCAGGCTGCACGTCATTGCTATGACTCCTGCCTATTTCCCTAATTTCACCCCTGTGACAGCATTCTTTTTTCAAGATTCACAAAAAAAAACCCAGCATGATACAACTAAAGAATGCCAGTTATGAGCAAAATAAAAAATAAGGGTAAAAAAGTAGTTACATGAACTGCAAGAGTGAGATTTGCTAGGAAAAGCTTTGACTGAGGCTAAGCAATTACTCTATAGAATGATGTCATTTTGTTCAGCAGTCCCAGCTCTGCCAGGATAGCCAGGCAATGTGTGCTGCCTGCACAGCTGGGAACAGCAGCCACAGAGAACCCCACTGCCACCCCTAAACTCCAGGGAAATTGTAAGAAATACAGGATTTTCCAAAAGAATGCAGGAAAATTAGTAAGTCTGAGACCTTGACGCAATCTAGACAAGATTTATTCATGATCTGAATCTATTCAGGTCTGCTATTTGAGAAGTTCTGCATTAAACATTTGTGTAATTAATAAAAATACTCAGATGAGGACTTTTTACAGGAAGGATATGAACACTCATGTTTCAAGACCAAGATAATCATTGACTTAAGGAGGATTAGGAAGAAATTTCTTACAGGCAGGTTATTCCCTAAAAGTATATTATACAGTGTATTATTCCAGTGCATCTTCACTAGAAACTATTAGTCAGCCTTAGGGACAGAATAATGAAGTAAACCAACTGACAGCCTGGTCCAGGATGGCAATTACTAGATCTAGACATGACAAAACTCCAGTCCTAACTGAATATGATTTGTTTTCCAATTTTATCTGCCTCCTTTATGTACCACAAAGGACATATATCCTTGTTTGTGGTGATGTGGTGTGTCGAAGTGACAACTTTGCACTGCTGTAACCTTGTTCTATATATCATATTTACATCTGATAAGGAGGTAGAAGATCTAAATATGCAAATATATAACAGGAATTAAAAATAGGGCTGTGAGGTTTAGGGAGAGCTTAGTGCAATAGCTAAGTTAACAAGCACTTCTTAGCAACAAAAGCTCATCAAACACATTATAGCTTTAAAGAGATAGAAGGAAACAAGTGAATACGCTGCTTTCACTGTCAGTTTGGACTTAATCGTGCAGCAATTGCCACAGTTATGCTGTTACCCCTGGGTGTTAACAGAGTACAAGTTACATATGCATATAAATGTGTCTATTTGTGTGTATTCCTGAAAGGTCCAGAAAGGGAAGCACAAGATCAATGGAGAGATGCTGGCTATCAGGAGTAACATCAGATCCTAACTGTTGTTACCCTCTCTTTGAGCACCCAAAGATGAGTTTTAAGAAAGACCAGGGGGAGGATTACACATAGTTCTAGTGTTATTTATGGAAATGCCTCCCAAATATGAGATGACAAACACAAGAAAGCAAGCCTTGGAAATCCAACAGGTGTGCAGTGGAGGTTGGCATCGGGACACTGCAAGAGACTTAACGTGTCTGTATTGAAAGAGATCAGACAGAAAGGGTGTAGAGAAACTGAGAAGGGAGTTGGAAGTGAAAGTAAGTTTTGATTGATAGAACAGAGAGAGGAGCCATTTGAGGGATGTAGAGAGAGAGAGGTGACAATGTAAAGAAAGGTATTGGGGAAAAAAATACCTTTTGCATGAGCACTGGCTGTCAATTCTCTAACCATAGAGTCATCACAGGACAATGAGTCAAGCTGTTTAGAACTAATATGACATGTTTTGGAGTCATTCCTCAGAGGTGTCTGCAGAGACACTACATGGACCTCAACTGTGTCCTCCTTAAAATTCAACCCCGCTTTGATACAGGAAAAGCTCAGCAATGATTAATCTGGTGGTTTCCAGTCACTGCCTTTTAACATGTTGACCAGTATGATCTCACTGTTACCTTGTGCTTGACTTGTTTCCTTTATAGACCTGTCAGCTCTTAATTTTGATTACAAGGTGTTTGACATAACAATTAAAAAAAAAAAACAAAAAAAAAAAAAAACCAACCAGAATGCTAACACAATGCAGCTTAGAGTTTGGCAGTTCTGACTTAAAGTACTGCCAGTCCTACCCTCCCCTATTTGTCTCTCTCGTTATGATATGCCACCCTTTTCCTCACA